GGGGATCTAGTAAGTGTGGCGTGGGGACAGTAAAGTGTTCAGAGACCGTAAACTGCCTGGGGTCACCCGTGCTGAACGTCCCGGGGCGACACCTCGGCGCCCGGCGGCGGAGGCGGGGAGCCCAGGGGTGCAGGAGCCGGTGGTGGAGGGATGCTGGGCTGGGGCTGCGGAGGCGGCGGTCCCGCCTGGCCGTCGGGAGAGAAAGCCGTGGCCCGGGGCGCCCTGCAGAATCCGGGAGGGGACGCGCTTACCTGGAGGTACGGCCGCCCGTGGGCCACCCCGCCCACGACGATGTCTGCAGCTGCCATGGCCCCGGTGGGCGAGAAGCCGAAGCCCACGTAGCCGGCCGTGCGCACCTCGAGGCGGAAGGCGAGCCGGCCACCCCGCGGGCCCCAGCTCAGCCAGTAGTTGCCCCCCGAGTCGAGCATCGTGCGGTGCGGGTAGGTCCAGCCCGAGCCCCCCGCCGCCGCGCCGGGGAGCAGCCCCCACAGCAGGAGCAGCGGCCAGCAGCACATCCTCGGGCGCCTCCTGCCCGCCGGCACCTGGGCTCCCGCCGACTGGCGGCGCGCGGGGGAGGCTGAAGGGGCGGCGGCGGCCTGGGACCGCCCCCCGGGCCCGCCCGTCCGCCCGCAGCGCGGGACCCGCTCTCCCCCCGCCCAGCCGACCGGTCGGGGCCTGGACACCCGCGCCCGCCCCCGGCTTCCCGCCCGTCCACCTGTGCCCTGCACCTCGACTTGTTCCGCGAGGTCCCTGCCGGGACAGGGATTCGAGGGGCGTCGTAGAAGGCGAGGGAGGAGGAAGCCAAGGGAAGGGGGCCGGGGCAGAGGGAAGAGGAGTGAGGTGCGTGCTGGTGCCGGGAGAGCCTGGGCACTCGCTGGGAAGGAGGGTGGGGTGGGGGGCGCCCTGGGGAAAGAATGACACTGGTGAGAGGGCACGTTTAGCCGAGGAGGAGGGTTGAGTGTTGAAAGTGATAATCCGGGGTTCGGTGGGAAGGAAAGAAAGCCCCCTCCCTAGTCTCTCTGTTGCCCCTGAATTTCCGAAGCCACAGTGCCCGGCGATGCCCGCACCCCGAGAAGGGTCACCGTGCGCCTCCTTAAGCACATCTCTCTCACCCTCTCACCCAGCGGGGGCCCAAATCTGGGGCAGTGTTGTTCCTGACCGCAGGAGTCAGGGCCCGGAAACTGGCCTTCCTCCTGGTCGTGGCTGTATTAGGTCTGGTTTTGAGGGGACAAATTCTGCCAAACTACTTTGCCATCAGCAGAGTCAGTCGGGATTGAAGCGCCATTTGGTAGTTAGATTTTAACTTGAAGTCTTCTTTTTTATTTTGTATCAGAGAGTTATGTTTTCCAGCTAGTGAGGCCTGTGTCTGGGGGTCAGATTCTTGGTTTACAAATTTAATGTCTGAGATAAAGCATCAGGAGAAAATTCATACATCAATGACTTCAACTCAGTGCAACTTCATTTTATTGGCATTGTAGGGTACTTATTTTGGGGAGAGGAAAGGATTAATTTATGAAAAAAAGACAAGATGCTTTGGACTTTTTTGTTGCTGTTGTTTTCTTTATTTCCAACCCAAGTTAATAGGTCATTGCTGGAATTAGGATTCAAATTTGATGGCATCTCAGTCAGAACGGCATGGAAATCAAACTTAGGAATCAGGGATAAAATTATTGAGAATGCATTTGAAATCCATTGGGCACAATGATTTTAATATTATCAAAGCCTCTGCACAATGCAGAACTAGGAGTTTTCATTTGGATCAACAGACATGGAGCAAAGGACAGTATTTGGGGATGAACTTTGATAAGGAACAGAGGATATTTACCACGATATTGTATCATAGTGAAATAGTGTCCAAATGTTAGTCAAGACAGATAAAGATGTACAGAAAACCTGACCACCTAAATCATTCTAATCTCACAGGTTTTTTTTCTTATTCATAAAGACACCTATGAAGAGACAACGTCTATACTCGGCTCTTTCAAGGCAAATCAGCAACTGTCAAATGAACTGTTGGCTATTACAGTGAAAAGTTCGCCACTTCATAGGGGATTTTGCCTGGGGACCCTAGGTTTTGCAGATGTCTAAAAGCGTCTTCCTAAGCGGTCTCGGCATAGCAAAGTTCCTAAATGATTCCTGTGGCCTTTTCATTCATCTCTCCGATCTGTGGGTGACCGCAGCCGCGTGCCTAAGGACTCCGTAAGACCCGTGATTTGGGATGTTCTGAGATCCCCGACCCCAGAGCACACGACAGCAAAGTGCTAAAGCTGACAGCCGGTCCCTCCAGTCCTGAGAGCCGTCCCGTTTACTCCCCAAAGCGGGGTCCCGCTCCCTTCCCATTTTGAATGACGGAGGCTGCGTGGCAGGTGTGTACCTGGGGGATCTAGTAAGTGTGGCGTGGGGACAGTAAAGTGTTCAGAGACCGTAAACTGCCTGGGGTCACCCGTGCTGAACGTCCCGGGGCGACACCTCGGCGCCCGGCGGCGGAGGCGGGGAGCCCAGGGGTGCAGGAGCCGGTGGTGGAGGGATGCTGGGCTGGGGCTGCGGAGGCGGCGGTCCCGCCTGGCCGTCGGGAGAGAAAGCCGTGGCCCGGGGCGCCCTGCAGAATCCGGGAGGGGACGCGCTTACCTGGAGGTACGGCCGCCCGTGGGCCACCCCGCCCACGACGATGTCTGCAGCTGCCATGGCCCCGGTGGGCGAGAAGCCGAAGCCCACGTAGCCGGCCGTGCGCACCTCGAGGCGGAAGGCGAGCCGGCCACCCCGCGGGCCCCAGCTCAGCCAGTAGTTGCCCCCCAAGTCGAGCATCGTGCGGTGCGGGTAGGTCCAGCCCGAGCCCCCCGCCGCCGCGCCGGGGAGCAGCCCCCACAGCAGGAGCAGCGGCCAGCAGCACATCCTCGGGCGCCTCCTGCCCGCCGGCACCTGGGCTCCCGCCGACTGGCGGCGCGCGGGGGAGGCTGAAGGGGCGGCGGCGGCCTGGGACCGCCCCCCGGGCCCGCCCGTCCGCCCGCAGCGCGGGACCCGCTCTCCCCCCGCCCAGCCGACCGGTCGGGGCCTGGCCACCCGCGCCCGCCCCCGGCTTCCCGCCCGTCCACCTGTGCCCTGCACCTCGACTTGGTCCGCGAGGTCCCTGCCGGGACAGGTATTCGAGGGGCGTCGTAGAAGGCGAGGGAGGAGGAAGCCAAGGGAAGGGGGCCGGGGCAGAGGGAAGAGGAGTGAGGTGCGTGCTGGTGCCGGGAGAGCCTGGGCACTCGCTGGGAAGGAGGGTGGGGTGGGGGGCGCCCTGGGGAAAGAATGACACTGGTGAGAGGGCACGTTTAGCCGAGGAGGAGGGTTGAGTGTTGAAAGTGATAATCCGGGGTTCGGTGGGAAGGAAAGAAAGCCCCCTCCCTAGTCTCTCTGTTGCCCCTGAATTTCCGAAGCCACAGTGCCCGGCGATGCCCGCACCCCGAGAAGGGTCACCGTGCGCCTCCTTAAGCACATCTCTCTCACCCTCTCACCCAGCGGGGGCCCAAATCTGGGGCAGTGTTGTTCCTGACCGCAGGAGTCAGGGCCCGGAAACTGGCCTTCCTCCTGGTCGTGGCTGGATTAGGTCTGGTTTTGAGGGGACAAATTCTGCCAAACTACTTTGCCATCAGCAGAGTCAGTCGGGATTGAAGCGCCATTTGGTAGTTAGATTTTAACTTGAAGTCTTCTTTTTTCTGCTACCCCAAGTTCTGGCCATGATCATACTTATTAAAAAGTGTTTTTGCCTCTACCTCTAACCACATCACTCCTGTCTTCAGAATGCTGACTACTCAATGTGGCGACTGTAAATTACATTCTTTATTTATTTGGCATGTATTTATACTCTTGCATGTTTCAAAAAAAGTTCTAAGGTGGCTTACAAAAATACAAAAAAGTAATACAAAACAGAAAAGCAAGAGAGGATATAAGATGAAAAACTCTGGGTAAGAAAAATATTGCAAACATGGGCCGTTGACTCTGGAGTGGGAGGCTCCTCACAGGCCACCTATATTTCTTATTCTTTCTCTTCAAGTCATGTTCCAGCCTGTTTTTTCCTTGCTCCTGTTTCCTTTTTTCCCCCATCACTTGTCCAAAGTTACCAGCATGCATCCAAACAGTGTTCTCCCAAGGGTTGGGCATATTTGCCCCTATCTGGAAGGCAGCCCGTGAGTGGATCCGAGGGACTCATGCCGCTGAGAGAGGCGATGGAGCGCTCCAGGTTTAGCCCATGACAGCAGGCCAGATTCAGGTAAGAGAGATGTTGAAACCTTGGGACAGGCGGTAGCAGCCTAAGAGTTACAAACCTAGAAGTGGGTTTGTACAAGCACCAAGGGACTTGGCTGCTGCCGTGACAAGGAGGGGAGGACGGAAAGAGAGGAACGAAATGGGAGCATGAAAGCCGGGAGGGGCGGCTCCTGGCAGCATGTGACTCACCTCATTGGGCGGGATTTCAGGAGAGTCAAATGACTCCAGAGTGATCAAAGGCAAACTACCTGTTTATGACCCTACTTGTGTTCCTAGCATAGAGGATCCTGGAACGCAGGACTCCCATCTGTTTCCCGGGGCTTGTTCTATAAATCCCAAATTCACACTCAGGTGGCCTTTTCAGCCTCACCTGCCCTCACTTGCATCTCACTCACCCATTGCCCTCTATACACATTACCTCTAGAATCCTCAAAAGACAGCCTTGAGGTTTTATATCGCTGTGCCTTTTCAGATTGCTCACTCTGTCACGTTTGGCTTTTCTCTTCATTCTTTGAAGTATTTTCTGGTCCTCCTCCCACAGTTCGACCAGATGACATGAACCCCTCGATAGCGGAGCCCATGAAATGCTTTGTCCAGACCTCATGATGGCACTCCTAAAACTTCAAAGCCTGACTGTATGCTTATTCTTCTCCAGTAGCCTCTTCAGGTCAGAAACTGCTTCTACTTCCTTGTTGTAACCCTGTTGCCTAGAACATGAACTAGTATGCAATAGGTGCTTAATAAATGAAGGAAGAGTAAAGAGATACAGTTCCAGATTCCTGGAAGCATCCTCTTAATAAAGTTGGACTGTGAGAGGTAAGCTTGGCCCCCAGATATAAAGGAATATTCTGCTCTGCATCGATATTGAGGCAAAAATAAAAAAGACCACACATAAATATACAAAAAAGAAAGTCTTAAATGGTTTTTATTATTCTATTAAATAAGATCATTGAGTGTGAAGTTGTCTTTCGTTCATCTGTGACTGGCTTTAAATCTGTGATTTAAAACACCCTGAGTACTCAATAAATATTAAAACTAAGAAAATCATCTTGAGATTAAGTCAATAAACAGAATACTGTTAGCATAATTCATACTCAAGAAACCCACTCTGTTTTGGCTTGAACTACCCCAGTAAATGAAGCCAAAAGAGAAAACTTTAGCTAAGTGTGCTTCATTAGGTGTCCCCGTTCCCTATATTAAAACCAATTCCCCACTCAATTGCATATAAGACTCAGTTTCCCAATTTGGAAATTAATTACTTCCTAACTGTTTGTCTTACATCTGTAAGGAAAACAGGAAGGAAGCATAG